CCTTCGCTTGCGGTCCTTGCTTGGAGGAGGTGCCGAGCCAATTGTTGCGGAACTTGTGTGGCTTCGGAAGCCTTGCCCAGCCAGAAGTTGTGGGAGATGCTCATCATCTGGACGGTCAGGTCGTGCTGGGTGCTGGTGGCGGGCGGCTCCGCTTCGTCGGCCGGATCTTCTTCCTCTGCGGCGTTCGCTGCTTCTTTGCCGGCTCCCCGCACTCGCGTTCCGGTGGCCTGCTGGAGCTCGTCCTCGTCGAAGTGGCAGACCTCGTCCTTCAGGTCCTCGTTGTCGCTGTTCGCGGCCAGGTCCTGGTCGGGCTGCAGGGATCGCGGGAGGCAGTACACGAAGGCGTAGTTCAGGACGTAGCGCTTCAGTTCTTCCGTGGGGAAGCCGTCGCCGTGCCTCCAGGCGCAGCGCAAAGCTTCGCGCCAGGTGCTCATGTCCGGCGTGCGCAGCTGGCCAATGTAGGGCACGGCCTCCGTGGCGTCCTGCGGGTTGCTGGTCCAGGGGCAGAACAGCACGAGGATCTTCATGATGTGCTCCTCCTCGCTGCGGCTGCCCAGCGCGCCGTAGAGAACGGGTACGTTAGGTCGATGCCGTGGAACGATCACCCAATCGTGGCGGTGTTTCTGGGCGAGGCTGCCGTTTCCCAGCGGCATCCAGTCCTCGCCGCCCTCTTCTCGGATCAGGTAGTGGACGCCGCCTTGAAGCTTGCTGCGCCCTAATTGTTTTTGCAGCCATGTCATGCCGCTGTCCGTCAGCAGGGCGTGGTAGGGGATGTCTGTTTGCCCGCTGGCCAAGGCGGCCATGGCTTGTTCTTGTTTCTCGGCTTTCCACGGGTACCTGACTGCCCGGGTGTGGTAGTACCGCACGAACTCGAAGGCCGAGAGTGGCCGGACGCGAGGATCGGTTCCGCGGTTCCCGTAGACCGTCCACAGTTGCGGATGAGCTATGGCTTTCTTCTTGCTCGGCGCTTCGAAGTTCCTGCTGAGGTCACTTTGGAGCTTCTCGCGTTCTGGCGGGAACGGCCTGCCGTCTATGGCCGCTTGCAAGAGATCGACTCCGGTCTTGAGGGACATCTCGTCGACCTGGGCGGTCTTGATGGCCTCCGCCGCCGTGGGGTCGTCGCGGCCGGCGTGGTCGATGAGGTTCGCGCACTCCACGGACCCGCGGACCACGCCGCGGGCAAAGGCGTCGGTCATGAGGCGCTTCGAGACCCGGGCGCCCACGTAGCCGCTGGAGGCGTTGTTCTGCAGCTCCGCTTCCAAATCTTTCTGGCTTTTCTTCCACTCTTGGACCTCGTTGACGGCGATGGGATTGCGCTTGTTGCTGTAGTCGCAGGCGTAGCCCGCCTGTGCGGCCTGGTTCACCTGGGCCTGCTGGGTCATTTCGCGTAGGCTGTTCTGGGCGGGGCAGTCCTTGTCGCAGCGGCCGCACGCGGCGTGGAGGTCCTCCGTGATCGGGAAGCGATAGGGCACCTGCACGTCGCCGTTGCAGCGGAGAGCGGCCAGCAAGGCGGGGTGGTTGCCGTTGAGGTTCGGGTCGTTGCAGGGCCCCCGCAGGCGACCGAGGGCGCTGCGCTTGCCCTTCACGGGCATGCCCATCTCTTCGGCGAGTCCCTTGCACATCAGCGTCGTCTTTTCGATCAGCTGCAGTTCGCGGGGGAAGCCCGCCTTGCATTTGGTGGGGTTCTTCTTGTCGCGGCAGTGGTCCAGCGGCAGGCGCGGGCCGCCCGTCTTCTTGGGCAGGTGCACATGATGCTGTTTCAGCTGCTGCAAGGCTTCCACGTCTTCGTCCAGGAACAGGCGCCGCCAGGTCGGGCCGTTCGTGGAGGCGTCCGCCCTCTGGTAGTTCGGGCGGCTCAGGGCCAGGAAGGAGTCGCGGTAGGCGGGCCACTTCTCTTCCGTCTCCTGGCGCTTCCTTTCCCATGCTTGCGGGTCCCGGTAGATGGTGCGGCTGACGTGGGCGGTGTAGGCGCAGTACTTCTGGAAGAGGTCCATCTTGCGCTGCGGGCCCAGCGCTTGCAGTTCCGAGAGCGGGTTGAACTGGTGGAAGCACTGGAGGAAGAGCTGCGCGCGGAGCAAGTGTGTGGTGGTGGCTTCGGTATTGTTTCTGCCTTGCTTTGATGCGTGTAGCTAGAATTTGACGTCCTTTCGTTGTGTTTCTGTGTGTATGTGTGTTTGTTGTCTTTTTGAAGCGGGCCTGGAAGTGGATGTGCAGCACTCCGGACTTCTGGCACTCGATGGAGCCGAAGGCGGCGTCCAGCCGCCCGAAGATGCCCCCGCACGCCATGGCGTTGCTGCCGAACGCGTCCGCGCAGGGCCTGCTGGAATTTCCGCAATCCGGGCATTTGGGGCAGTAGCGAACGCCGAAGAGGTGTCGGAGTGCCAGCTGCACCAGGGTGCGGAAGCCGTCCGCGCAGGCCACGGGGTCTTTGGCCAGCATGGCGCGCCGATCGTCGTAGGGCGGCAGCTCCGCGGCGAGTGCTTCCGGGCTCAGGCTGTAGAACTCCACGTCCAGGTCGGGCTTGCCGCGGCCCTGTGCGGCGCGGCTGGTCGCGGACTCCTGGCTGAGGCTGGGGTCGGATTGCCGGGCGCGGGCGAGGCGCAGCATCACCGCGTTGTCTCGCTCGGACGGGGAGAAGGTCACGAAGAGCGGGGTGCCGTGGCAGATCCGGTTGGCGTGGGTTTGGTGGCGCATGGTCTTGCGGACCTCGTGGGTCCCGGGGGTGTTCCTGCTGCGTGCCGCCGTGTTGTCCAAGACCTGCCGGCACCCGTTGTAGAATCATGCAACCCTGGCTTGTCTATGGAAGTGCGGCCTGGTTGGAAGTTGTTGTATTCTTTCTGCCGCGACTATGCTTGGGAATTGTATCGTTAAATTGTTCTCACCTCAGCTTCGCGTGGGTCGTGGGATGCAAGTTGGGGGTCTGACATGGTTTTTTTGTGGTAGTTCTAACAGGTTTAATTCACTGTGAGTTTTTGTTTTCTGTTGCGGGCGCCTTCAGGGCTGCCGGTGTGAGTCCGGTGGCGAAGCGTACCTTGCTCAAGTCTCCGTTGACGGGCCGCAGTTGGTTGTTGACGTCCAGGTACTGCCCTTTGGCCAGCTCTTTCTGGATCTGCTTCCCGCCGTCCAAGATCTCTTGGTTGGTCAGTGCTCTGCGTCCGTTGTTCTCGTCGGGGACGCAGTACATGAAGGTGTTCTTTTGCACGTTGACCATGGTCCTGAACAGGTAGTTCCACAGGGTGAAGCCGAAGGTCCAGTCCCGCCGGAATTGCGTCTCGGCTCGTCGTTGCATGGCTGCTGCCCAGGCGTGGATTTCCACCTTGGGGGCTTGCGGGTTGCGTCTGCGGCGCCGTCCCGGGTCCTGCTGGTTTCGGCGGGCGTCCGCTTGGCTGTTCTGGACGTCGGGGCAGGCGGTCCCGTGCGCGAAGCAGAAGCTGAAGGCCGTGGCGAAGTAGAGCGGCTGGAACTGGTCCACGAGGGCGTTGCTCGTGCGCACTTCGAGGGTGTTGCAGATCCTCTCGCTTTCCTGCTTGGTTTGGAGCTGGTCCTCGAGGTCGTTCAGGGCGGCCGTCGCCACGGCGTTCTGGTCCTCGCGGTCTTGGTTGCAGCCTTCCGGAAGGACGGCTCGGGCTCGCTGGTTGGCGAAGATGGCGCCGGCTTGCTTCACGTCTTGCTCCGGGGCGTCCGTTGGGGCCGCTGCCTTCTGTGGCTGCAGCTTGTGGCTCGTCTCGTCCTCCTCGGTCATGCCGTGGATGATCTTCAGCACCTCCGGCGGCACGCCGCCTTCCGGCAGCTGCGCGGCAGCCTCTCGGAGGGCTTCTTGTCGCAGGTGCTGGAATGCGGGATGGCCCAGGCGCTGCATGTCGAGGATGAGGTTGACGACCACTTCTCTCCGCACTGTCGCTTGGTGGAGCAGGGTCTTGATTTCGGACTCGCTGGTCTTGCCCGTCCTGTTCGTCTTCAAGAGGACCCGCACCACGTCTCCGAGTGCCTTGCCCGCGCGCGGCAAGCTGGGCGTCGGTTCCTCTCCGCTTGCCGCCGCCGCTTGCTGCGCCTGCGCTACTTCTGCGTCGTGTGCCTGTAGGTTGCGCAGCACGTCTTCCCATGGCAGTGGGAAGCTGAGGGCGTTGCCTCGGGCTCCGAGCCGGTGGTTGGCGCACTGGGCCTTCTCGTCCAGGGTGGTTCCTTCGCTGCGGTGTCGTGCTTCCATGGCCATGCAGATCAGCGTCGTGATGCAGGGACTCGCACAGATCATCTCCATTACAGTGACCTTCTCGGCGTGGAGGCGTGCCGGTGAGTATCCGGTCCACATGTCGTTGCACAGGCTCAAGGGCGGTAGTTTGCCGTTTTTCAGGTGCCGCCGGCAGTCGCTGCAGAGGGGCACTTCGCAGTGCTCGCATAGAGTGTTCTGGCTGGGGTGCTGGGGGCAGGCCTGGCAGCGATGGTCCTCCGGGCAGCACAGCAGGTCGCCGAACCCGGGGATGGTAACCGTCCAGTCGTCGAAGTTGGTCACGTCCTTGAGTTTCACGTCGCCGGCGAGGTCCTCGTAGCGCTCCAGGTACTTGTCGATGCTGAACAGCTCGTGCAGGCGGTCAGCCATTTCGGCGCGACCGACGTCGTCGTTGTTGGCGGGGCCCTCGATGAGTCTGGCCCAGTGGATGCGGCCGCTGTTTGCCGTGTCGGCAACAGGATGGATGCAGGCGCAGCTGAAGCAGATGAGCGATTCCACCCTGTCCTTGCTTGTGGCCTCGGCGAAGCTTCGCAGCGCGCTTCTGTCTCGCGAGCTTCCCGCGACGGGCGCGGCTTCTCTGCATCGCAGCGCGACGGCCTCGTTGTAGACGCTGGTCAGCGCGTCGGCCGGCTTGGGGCTGGGTAGGTGTTGAGCCGCCATTCCTAGCTCCGCCCTGTGAGTGTTCTTCACGTGCTCGTGGAGCTCTTCTTCCGTTCCTGTTGGCAAGGCCCATGTGCACCCGTGGAATGCGCAGAAGACCTGAGGCCAGGCCTCGCCGCTGTCCACCTCTTCGGGTTTGGCGTCGGGCGGTATCAGTGGCTGGGCTCGAAGGTGGGTGCTTGCGAGGTGCTTCAGCGCGTCTTCCAGCTTGCGTCTCGGGTGGGTGGCCTCTGCTGCAACGGGCATGCTGGTTAGCTCTTCGAGGAGGTTGGGCCCTTCCTCCGGGTGGGGCGGGGGTGCATCGGTCGTGTCTGCAGCCTGGCTGACCGGGGTGGGTGGTTTGTTCCCCGCTTTGCAAGCTGCGGTTTTTCTGCGCTTGGATGGCCGAGGTTCTGGGTGGGGTGGTGGCGGCGGCGGCGGCGGGCTCGCCGCGGCGGCCGGGCGGGCAGGCTTGCTCGGTGGTGCCGCGGCGTGCGCTAGTTCGTCGCTGGGCACGAGCACGTCGTAGTGGTCTCTTCCGTTGTACCAGAGATGGATTGCCTGCATGAAGTTCTGTCGTTCGCGCGGGCGCCGTTCTGCTGCCGTTTCCACATCCGCGTGCGTGCGCTCGATCGTCTCGATCTCACCGTTTGCTGCTCGCCAATGCAGGAACACCCTCTGCTGTCTCATCAGCGTGAAGGCGATGATGGCGGTGTCGCCGCCCCAGTGGCTGGGGTTGCTGTGGAGGTATTCGGCTTCTTCCAGCCAGGCATCCGTCTGTTCTTCGTCGTCTTCGCAGGCTGCGTTGTCCTGCAGGAACTGAATGATCAAGGACCGCAGCTGTACTCCGTCTTCTTGGGTCTTGTTGGCGAGGGCGTGGAACAGGCAGTTGCCGTCGCCCGTCATCTTCTTCAGTGCCAATCTTCCGCGGAAATGCTCCTGTCGGTCGGGCTCTATACTCGGGTGCTTGCGCTTTCGTTTCGGGGGGTGCGGGGGAGGGTTCGGGGTTTCGGGGGGATCTGGGTTGTTGCAGGGTGCTTTTAGTTAGGAGAGATTCGGTTGTGGCCCTGCCTCGATGCTGGGGCCCAGTTCCGGATGGCGAGGCGAATCGTGGTTCGCGCCTCCTCGCCATGCGGCAGCTGCTGCGGTGGCTCTTTCGGCCTGGCACCGATCGTGAGGAGGTGAATCTGCTGCTGTGTTGGAGGTGCCATGTACGTGATTAGGTGCTTCAAAAGGTACACAGGCACGCACAGGCACACGCACATACGCGGACACACGTAGCTGCTGCTTGCCTTGGCCAGGTGGAAAGCTTGCTCCAGGGCTTCGTCGTCTTTGGCTGTCCACGATGGCTTGGGCGGCAGTGGTTTGGGAGCCTGCGGATGCAGTGGTGGATCTTGTGGAGCTTTTCTGTCTCTGTCTGTCTGTCTGTTTGTGTGTGTGTGTCTGTGTTTGTATATGTGCGCGTGCGCGACATGTTAGACTAGAAAGTCATCTCTGAGAGTTTGGCAGTGCCGCCTTCTTGTGTCGGCGTGGCGATCGCTTCGCACCGATCGCGCTGCTCCGTGCTGTTGGTGTCGTTGGGAACGTCTTCCATGCCTTGACAACTGGGATGCATGCATCTACCTCGCGAATAGCCGTGTGTCGTGGAATGACTTCATGGATTTTCCGCTTCTGGATTGTCAGCCCGTCAGCATGCCTCGTCGATCTTGATCCTTCCTGCCTCGGTTCGATGGTTTTGCTTTGCGGCCACAGGACGTGCTCGCGTGCGTTGCAGGCCTGTTTGCTGGAAGGCAGGCTGGGACACGGACGGGCGTCAGAAGTGTCAAACTGCACTTCGTTGCGAGGTAGTGCTTCCTGAACGCCTGGATGTCCCAGCCGATGTCCTGAGTTCACTGTTTAGGGTTGAGCGGAGGTGGGTGGGAGTGCCGGTCCCCGCCTCGCCGTCGTCGTCCGTTATGTCGGCCCATCGGCGGTTGCTCTTGTGCATCATTGTCTCACCTGCAATTTCTAGGGACAGGGTGTTGGTGGTTTGTGTCTGTGTGTGTGTGTATGTCTTCGCAGATCGCGCTCAGGCTGCCTGGTGGGTCTCGGCCGGTTTTGTGTGCGTTCGCTGTGAGCAGAAAGCTTGCTGCGACACGCAAAGCTGTTGCAAGCGGGAGCTGCATGGAGAGAGCTTTTGGGCATGCACAATAGGAGTGCGCCATCGTGCACGTTTTCACATGTGGTGTGCGTGTGTGGCTGCCTATGTCTTTGTATGCTGTGTGTATGTGTGTTTGCGTGTCATGTCTATATATGTGTGTGTGTGTGTGCGTGTCATGTCTATCTGTGTGTGTGTGTGTGTCATGTCATCATGTCTATCTGTGCATGTGTATGCAGGTTTACGCTTGTGTGCTGTCAGTTGTGGTCGTTCTGCGACACATGTTTTGTGTCGCTGCTCATTCATCTGGCCGTTTTTCGGGCCGCTCGGTCGCAAGGCAGTTGCTTGCCGGGGTTTTAGGGTCTTACATCCTGGAGCTCATATGTCTTCTTCGCTGCTGTCGAAGCTGCGGCATTGTTGAAGCTTCCTGTACTGGCAGCGCAGGTTGTTCGGTGTTTGTGCTCGGTCGTGTTTTTCTTCTGGGATTTGCATGAGTTCGGTGAGCTCGGCACTGGGGCATTGGGCTGCGGTGCTCAGGGGCGTGTGGCCGGTCTGGTCTCTGTGAAATTTGTCTGCTTTGGCTTCTAGCAGGATCCGAATCACTGTCGTGTCTCGTGCTCCTGTGCATAGCACAGCCAGTGTCAGTGCCGTGCGCCCAAGTTTGTCTTCCCCGTTGACTTCGCCGGCGGCAGTTAATATCGAACTTATTATCGCTGCTGGTGCTTCGTGGAGAGCAGCGCGGTGCAAGGGTGGATGTCCGTCCAAGCTAAGGTTCGCGTCGGCCCTGGCTTCTAGGAGTGCCTGCGTGGTGGTGCAGTGACCGTTGGCGGCAGCGAGGCTGAGGGCCGTGCGCTGTTGTCGTTCATTGCGCACGAGGTCGGGCCAACCTTTTAGGACGCTTGTGCACACGTGCGCGTCTGCCTGCACCTGCATCTCTAGGAGCCAGCGCACGTTCTGTGTGTTGCCCGTGCAAGCCGCGCTGCACAGGCTCGCCGACAGTACGTATGTTTCCGCTACCTTGCTGCTGCTGCTGCTGCCGGGATCCCTCGGGATGGCGGGCGTTTGGGCTGCTCTCACGACATGCTGCATAAAAGTGGGGTTTGAGTGAGCGGCCGCTGCGCAGGCCAAGGCCACGGTGTCGCCCAGCATGCGAGGTGTTGCCAAGCGGAAGTAGTCTGTCGGGGCTGGATTCAGGACCCAGCTGCTGGCGTCTCGGAGCATGGGTTCCGGGTCGGCTTGGGCCGTCAGCAGCATCGTTATCAGGCCAGGTCGTGGAGCATGGCCTGATAGGTCCTCCGGGTGATATTCGCATGCCATGTCCAAGGGTGTCCAGGGGTCTGCGGAGCCGTGGACATTAGCCCGGTGGTCCAGAAGCATCTGCACGTAGCCGGTCTGTCCGAATTTGACGGCGAGGATGAGCAGGTCTATGTTTTCGGGTCTGTCGAGTTCCGCCTTGGCTTGCAGCAGAGCCCGAAGGGCAGATGTCGGCCAGTTTGGTTCCTGGGGTTCGTAGTTCATGAGGAGCATTTCCACTGCGGAAGTCGGTGACAGGTAGCCTTGGCGGAAGACGGTGTTCGGGTCGATCGGTCGCCACAGCAGCTTTTCCAGCTTCTCCGTGTGCCTCTCCCATAGTGCGATACGGAA